CAATTTCTCCAACGAAATCCAGGCTTTTGTTCTGAAGACTTTTAAATAAACAGTATTATAAAACCTGACCGGAAGGCAGCGGGTAAGGCAATGTAGAGGCCCATTTACTTGGATCAATTACTCCTCTACCATTGTACCGACTGAGACGCTAACTCCAGTCAAACCCCCAACCTGGAGGACCAGGAAACTGGACTTCGTCTAACCTCTACCCATTGACCTTCCAGGCATGAATATATCTGCGGCTTGACAAAAGCCATCCCGTATAGCTCGTTGGGTCAGAGAGGTGCTCAAGCGATCACACCACGTGAAGATGTAGTCTCATCGTGATATAAGTAGCTTAACGATACCACAAGACTGGCTTCTTTATGTATTTCACCATCTCTTCGGTACTTTGGGCTGTTGAGAAACCCATGATTGGAAGGCCAGCATCCCTGGCTAATAGATCTATCGACATAAATTCTTGGGATACCCCACAGTTAGTAGAGTTTAACTACTTATGAGTAGTCATGTGGCTAATCCTTGTTTTAATAAATTTTGACTGACCGTGCTTCGCACCTCGTCTTCTATCACAGCGTGCAGTTCACCTGACCAACAGCGCATTTCGGAGTGCTGGACCACGATCATGTTCTCGTTACAGTCCCTGAAAAGTACATGTTCATCGACCTATTGAGGATGCTGTGTGCGTTATCACTACGTCAACCAGCTAACATTAGAGTGCTGTCCGGAAATGTGGTCATTAGTTTGCTCAGATCGTCCACTATTAAATCCAATTGAATTATTCCCAGTGCATCAGCTTTTCTCAAATAACATTTCTCCCCTGTTCTTCAGTTTTACATCTGAGATTACAAACTAACTTGGTAAACATTTATATTTTATTTACTCCGGAGAAATCGATCTCTCCGTCTTCGGGCAAGTTAGTTTTCTGCTTGACACTTTGCATGTGAAACAGCAAAATTTATTCAAGGTTCTAGTTTCAGCCCCCACTCCCCGTAAAACAGATTTTCCTTCGTGCAGCTCTTTTAACACCTAGTCTACAACTTGCGGACACAGTGAATAACTGATGATGATAATAACTGGGAACCGTATAAAATCAATCGTGAGAATCGTCTGTCTCATAAAAACAAAAACAAATACTGAGCGTTTACAGCGTGCAATGGTTGGGTGAAATAGTTTGATTTAATTGATCCGGTTACGTAGAGAATTGCGTCGTTTACAAAACAAATGAAGCACTCATCGAACTGTTCAGCTAATTAGACCCGGCTGGTCTTAATCAATAATGCGAATCCATAGATCAAACAAATTGACGATCGAACTCAAAACCAAAAGTAGAACGCAAGTATTTCCTCCCCCCCGCTCCCCCCAAATTAACCCCTGGACCGGATTCGGTTCTGAGAGCCACCCCGATCTATAGCACTCTAGCTTTTCAGTTAATACTTCACTTGCTCTGTACGAGACGAACTCCTTTAACTGAAATGTAAGCATACAAACTTACACAAGTTTTACAAATTTAAATACAGATATAACCCTTTGAATGTTGTATGCATCAGACATTATTTCATGGTCTTGGGTGTAAATTCCTGTTCGTGAGAGTTCGTTAACACCTCACATGTAAATGCACTTCATTTGTAATGCTTTTCTTCATGACGGGTGATAAAGAGCAGTGGACAGTTGTTTCGTCCTTATTTGGGCTCTTCAGCATCACAAATAATTCTGCGGAAAATCAACTACACTCCGTAATGAACTTCCGAGTATTGAAATCCACACCCAAAACAACAAAGCAGTAACTGATGGCTGTATAACTGAAATTTAGATACGAACATTTGCACACGATGTTGACCGTCCTCTGCCTCTCAGGAGTAAGGATTCTGACTCCCAACCCGAAAGTTTACAGTTAGAGTCCCGAATGGGACACAGAACGTATAAAATGTTGATGAGTCATAGTAAGGACAAAATAGATATCCAGTGGTTTCTTCGATTATCACAAAGAATTGTGTTTCAGGTGACAGTTATATTCGCCTAACAATGAGTCAAACTGATTCACTGACTGGATGATCGAACGGAATGAACAGTTCAGATTGATCACGTGACCATACCACATGCCACTCAGTGTGTAGCTGTATCATAATTCTGGGTACATGAATGCACATTGTTGTTCATAATGGAATTTTGTTTATAATTCCTCAATTTCGTTTGGCAAAACCGGTAGCTGTGCTTTTATTCGAAATTTTAATCAACGATCGATCCCGGTAGAAGTATCCCTGTTCATTCGAAACAAATCTCACTTAAAAAATGATCTCATCTGTTCCACACACCTGAGAGCACATTGGTCCAAATCGATCGGGAGGACATATTTCACTGCAATCCTGCCCACGAGTGCCCGGTGGACAAGGGCACTGTCCGGTCTGCGGATGACACGTTACCTCACCCGGAGCATTGGTGGCTCGCCACATCGTTGCAACCAGGGAACCGGAGTCTGTTGCAAATCGGGACATTCGATTCGGGTTGGTGGAGCTCGGATTGAATGTCGGTCGGAGTGCCGTGTCGCGGTTTTCAATTTCGGCCTGAGTTTTGATAATGCATGGTGGACATTCATGCGAGCACTGTGGACCATATGTACCCCGGGCGCAAGCTTTAGGCAGACAGGGTGTGTTCAGTGGTAGGAGAGCGGCGGGGGGAGGGGCGACAGGGGAAGGAATCGGGACGGAAAGCTAAAATGAGACCGTAAGCTACTTGGGAGGAATAAAATGAAATGTGTAACGGAATATTTGCTAGTTATGCATGCCCTCAGATTCCAAGGATGAAACCAGGTATCCGTGTTTCTGTGAGTTTCTTTTAAAAGTAATTTTTAGCTAGACCAATTGTGTGATGAACTAGCCCTAGTGATTCATTTATTAACGCGCTGTTTAGTGTATGGTCGTGCTCGATCCACTAGATGCTACTCAACATACTACACAGGACGTTTTAGTGAAAGACCTCATTCTCAAGAGATAAAATTCATTTCAAACTGACTTGTAATACTTCGAATAAATTCCTCCGGGTAATATAGGGGTTGATGCGTTCATCTGTTTCATATCCAGGGCGCAAGCATCGAGTGCTAATCTCAAAGTGCAACGCGGATAGAGTTAAATAGAATTAGCATAAAAGGAAAAAGCGTCGAAGTCAATCACTGTGTTATCATTGTTGTTGAATCGATCGGAAAATCGTTGTCTATTTGACTGATGTATTTTTCACCAAAGGTCACTAATGGTGACTTGATAATACTATTTTCGGTCAGGTCGTTAGCCCGCTTTCCGCTGTTCTAACAAATATTGAGTGAAAAACGAAAGCCCCCACTCCGCGAGGATTACTTTGTTCACAGTGTCTTCCGCGATATCCGGCGGCACAGTAGCAGGCTCCGGTGACACCATGGCAAGCTTCACCGTGAATGCATTCACATCGTTGTTTGCATTGTCTTCCAAAAAATCCATTCGGGCATGGCAAAGAGCATCGTTCGCCATAATAGCCTGAAACAAAGACGAACAAGAAGAGTAAAATCTTTCTGTAATGTTTGTTGGTGTAAACAGAACACAGTTTACAAGTCAATCAATCAATCAATCAATCAATTTAGCAAATAAACATCCAAGTATGCAAGCAAATCAATTTATGCATTGATAAAGTGAATGGTATACAAATCAATTTGTTAAGCAATGACGTAATTAATGTGATGATCATGTTGCTCACCCGCAGGGCAGATACATGTTCCGTTATCCGGATGGCACAAGCCTTGATTTTCACACTTGCATTCATATTGACAGTCGGTACCAAAGTATCCAGCAGGACATCCTGTATGTAAAGAACAGACCGAAATGAAAAATTAGTGAGCTTATAAGAAAATCTATATTGACCTTATTGGGAAATAAATTATTGGAAAATGCGCTTCCTAAATGTCGAAGTTTATTCACTCCATCACTCATTCAGTCTTACCCCAATCGAGTTGAAGCTATCCAAACAACTTCAGCATAAGCCTGTGAATTCAATATGTCCCCATCAAACTCTGACTTCATCATATTCAGCCACAATGAGCTGCAGGCATGCTATTTGCGATAGGCATAGTACGCACCTAACCATACTCTTTACTTCATTCATGATGCAACAGACGGGGTACATTTAACTTGTTATGTATAAGATATTCAACACGGATTTTTTCCAGATTGGCATCCCAACTTAAAAATAACGTGTTCCGATGTCAGTCAAGTCAAGTTAAATTTTCCCTGGAGCGGTAAAACTTCCACGTTATGTGAAATTTTTACAACGCAGTACAGACCCACGAAGAGGTAGATATTACTAGATAGGGCGTTTTGGTTACTTGTGGGCATCCTCAGGTTTTGGATAGGGGGAAACGGCTGTCAGTTCGCGACCAAACGTTAACAAAGTGTGCCTAGGCTCGCTGACTAGTCGATAGCGGTCAGCTCTCTAACGTGGCGAATGTGGCTCGTCACAAAATATGACTGTTGTCGAGATCCACTGCTCGATAAGGTTTTCTATATAACAAAAGAATGAACCAGACAACTGACCATCGGTTTATCTCGAACAAAGCTGCTGCCTTAAAGTTCGCACTTGATTGTTCAAAGGTTAAAGAATGCCCCCTAAAGGAAGGCCTACTATGGACTGAGTGTCCGAGTAGTGCAACAGCCCACAGCGTACATAATCATAGGCATTATTACGGCATTTACCTTGAGTTCAAAAAGTTGTACTGCAAACCGTCCCACATCTCACACACCTTCCTTCCCCACAAAATTCTCTCCATTTCACCTTCGCCGTAATCACACATTTTCACTTCCATCTGGAAATTCTGACAGTCATCGTAACATTAGTAGCCCAGATAAAAATGCTGCGGTCGTCCTCCCACGTCTTCTTACCTTGACTGCCATCCAAGCCTCACTAAACAGTTTTCCATTAACTGAATTCTTTCCTCGAAGTCGACACTTTTAAAACGGTCATATTCACCTGGCTTACTATGGTCCGTAATTAGGGCTGAACAAAACGGTTCTGGACACGCAGTACACGACGAGTACAAGGTGCAGATGACCAGGAAAGGAAAACGTTACCCGTAATCTATTGTCAATGTTGCTCAGTGATTGCAGCTCACAGAACCAAATATCAACACAGCCGAGCACAGCTCACAAGTCATATGGATCGTTATACTTCCACTGTGAGGACGAAACTCAGTCGATGTCACTGGAGGACGATGATTTTCTACGACAAAAAATGTGTTTTAATGCAGCATCAGACTGATGATCCTTTGCGAGCTGCCTTTGGTGATGATACGACTTCAAGAAGCATTGTGTTTCAGTGGTTTGCGGAATTCAAGTGTGACAAGCAGTGTCTGGATGGTGAAACACGGTGTTGTTGACCTGGGGAGGCCATCATAGCAGACAGCATTCATTACTACTTTGCAAGCGTTGATGGAGAAGGATTCGTGGGTGATAGTGGAACAGGTGGCGAAGGCCATCCGGATCTCATCGGGAAATTCCAACGCGAGTGCAGTGTGGCAAGGCAGATAGTGGCTGTGTTCATGGCCAAAATCGGTTATTAGTCTACTGTAACGCTCGCACAGCAAAGCAAAGCCACCCGGAGACTGATACGCCATCCACTCATCATCGAAACTGCTGGAAGTTTTCTCCATGACTCGAGCAGGAGGGACCTTGCTGCTGGCTAGAGAACGCATCCAGAAGGTTTGCCACCCACCATGCAGACCGAACCTGGTTCCGTGTGATATTTTGTGTTCCCAAATGTCAAGCACATGATGAGTCAAATCCGAAACGAGCCACCATTAGTTGCAGCGGAGGCCTTTATTGAACTGGTCGAAGGGTTATCCGTTTCCTCATGGTTGAGCTATTTCACTAAATGATTTGAGCCAATAGAACTGTAAACGAACGCTGGTGGAGAATAATTCGAGGAAATGTAATGCTTATTTTTGTGCATCCAGAAACATTTGCTCAGCCATTGGATAAGACAAACGGCTAGTTCAGCCAGCTCGAGACCTTAGCCATCGACGTGTGTTGTTTCCTAAAGACTGGCATTCAAGACTCTGGTCCCAGAATCCGATTGACGTTTCTATCAAACCACACTGTAAATTTTCACTTTTGTCTTTCTGAAAACCCTGAGGCTGCGGTTTCCGGCCATGCAATCGCATTGCACTATGACGATCTTCTGTCAGGGTTCTTTCCTTGTTTTCGAATACGAGTGTGACCAGCACTTTCAGTGCTGAGTCAACTGTGGGTGGTGGTACTTACCTGAGCAACAACTAACGAGAACTGACGCCTTGCTGACCCCCAAGTGAACTTCAACTACACACACCAGGGTACCATCATCAGACGGTTGGACGATAGGCTACAAACAACAAAAGTATCACAAACATGACTAACTGGTAATTAGACAGTCTCCTGCCAGGTTGATGGAGTAATAGTTACGTAAATCACGGAAGATTATCTAGTTAAATTACGAAAAAGGGTCAGAGGGGAATCTAGCTATGCGAGCTCAGTGGTGAGAGCGAAACAGTGACGTAAAACAAACGAGTAAGCGAACCTTTATATACCTTATAAGTGTTCTGTGGAACTTTTAGAAAACAAATCCAGTCACATGGAGGGGTAAACGAGGTGAGAAAGGGAGCATGCTTTACTTACGGCTTACACAATTTGGACCTTTCCATCCGGAACGGCAGTGACAAGTCCCATCCACGGGGTCACATACCATGTTTGGATTACGTTCATGACAGTCACATTCATTCCGACAGTTCTCACCCCATCGACCTTCTGGACACGTGTCCTGACATTGAGCCCCCCGAGTTCCGGGTGGACAACGACACTTACCGGTTTCGTGATGACACGGACGATTTGCGGGACACAAACATCTGGTTCGGATCAATCGAAAGTGTTGAATGCAGACTTTGCAGAGAGAATAATACTTGTTTCGTGATGAATACAAACGGTGTGGAAACACCCTTTTCTCGATAGGAACTGAATGAACAGCACAGCAGTCAAGTGGTGCACAATTTATTTCTCTTCAGGTACATATTGCAGTAAAAAAATATAAGACTAATGAGTTACAGTTACTATGGGTCAGATTTTGATGTTAGACCCGTCCAACGTTCTACCAGGGCAGAGTTAGAGCTACAAATAATTTTTCCTTCCATCTTTTTATGACAATCATCTCAGCAAACTAGAGCAGCCGAGATTTTTGGATGAAGAAAACACTTTTGAATGCCATGGTCAAGTTCACTTAATGTCCTGTCTATTACATGTGACGAGCGATTGATGACGACAGTGAATCATTGGGATGTAATTCCTTCACCGGTTTATTAACCCCCCGCACAGGGATGTGTTCGACTAATCTTTGTCTAAGCTGACTTTCAGTTTCGCCTAGGTAGGTGGCGGAATACCCACAGACGAATTGATGCAATTAATGGGATTTGACATACTATGAAAGCGGTTGTTTGACTGGAGGAGCCGATATTCTGTCGCATGTGTAGACAAACTGGTTCGACTTTGTTTATTGTTCGTTTGATGGACGAGCTAGGCGATGTTCATTCAAATTGCTCACATCATTACGTTGAAACGGTAGTTGTAGGACAAACTTACACCTCGTTACGGATATTGGTCGTTCTTCCTTCGGATTTTCAAAGCTTTATTTTTTCTTGAAATATTCTATTTGGCCGTTGTCCAGTGGAATTTTATTGTTTTATCCGGTTTATCTCTTGCTCCGGTTTGCACAGGCGACCGTTATAAAACGATGGAAACTGAACTGTCAAAGCAGAAAGAGTTATTTGCAACTCTAGTACTGTTAAGATAGAAAGACGGACGAGGTTGACACCAACAGCTCATCCACAGTAACTGTTACTTCTTCGTTTTCATTAGATTTTTTGACTGCAATATGTACCTGGAGAGATGTAGCGAGTTTTTTTCCGGAAATAAACTGTACAACACAATTGCAGTGCTCTGTATCCAGGGAAATGGCCAATCTAATCGTACATTCAAATGTCATGAGCTTTAAAGATGGCACATTGCCGATGGCTGTCTTGTTGTCGCCAGGTTGTTAAGGAGAGGACAGTGTGAACAGAATTGGATTCTGGTGGTGGTGGTGGTGAAGGGGGGGGGGCTTTTCGTGTTGACAATTACAACAACACATTCAATATGTGCTTCTCTTTCTATCTTCTGATGTTCCGAACTTAGAATCCACTATAAGATGTACCATATATTTTGCTTTTTTGAAGTGACCATGAATTATTTTACCGTATTTGCTTCCTCTTCCTCTCTGTCTAGCTTAGAATAATCGATATTCTCTTTCGGTAACATCGATAAATCAATTAATAATTGATCAACTAATTAGTAAAAGGATGAACTGCAAGCAAATCGGTTGACAATCCGGTGCCTCATACGACTTGACAACCTGACAAAAACGACGGGAACAACTCAATTCAGATGACATTGGTATAAACTGCGACCATGCATTGCTTCTGACTTACCGATTTTTACATTCGGGACCATAAAAACCTGGTGGACAGGGCTGTTCACAGGTTGGTCCAGTCCAACCTGCCGGACAGCGGCACTCTCCAGTCACCGGATCGCACCGCGATCCTGGCTGATGGCATCGGCATGCAAACTGGCAGTCTGGTCCGTACTTTCCGGTCGGACATCCTAAATGAATTGAAAGAAAATTGATCAGATGGATATATTTCAAGTGAGTGATGGACGATTTAGTTCAATTTAAAAGATGAATTGGTCGTGTATGAAGCAAATTAAGCGTAAACCGAAAACTAGGAAGCACTGGACAGCTGTTTCGACCTGTTTGGGTCCCATCAGCAGTGTGAATCCATCGACCTAACTGGGGATCGAACCCGGGACCCCATGGACTGAATGCAAGCATGCTACGCACTCGGCCACCGGGCAGCTGATCAGATCGTGTCTTCATTTTCCATTTACACAATACATCTTTGCGAGCATGTTGCGGGGCACACGTAAGTGGGACTAGTGTTAAATGCTAGGCTAATGCTAAGATGAGCTAGGTCTGTGGCCCGCAACAAGCTCGCACAGATGGTTTGTGCTATTTCGTGTAAATCAAAAATGAAAAGACGGTCCGATCCGCTGCCCGGTGGGGTAGTGGATAGCATGTTTGCGTTCTACCCATGAGGTCTTGGGTTCGATCCCCAGTTGGGTGGATGGATTCGCACTGCTGATAAGACCTGAACAGTTTACGCTTCGTTTGTTATATACACAAAGAATTCACCTTTGAGATGGATATATATCGGAGTGTGACAAAGATGTATTTGTTTTACCTGAAGAGCTAAGTAGCACAAATGAACGAGGATTGAATTACTGGTGAAGTGCGGTGAGTAAGGGTGAATCTCATGGCGATCACTATGCTTCCACACTGATCACTGCTTCGTGTGCTGTAGAAATAATCCCTAGGCATCGCAATAATAGATACGGTAAAAATGAAAATACTTGTTGGTTTCAAGAACCGCACGTTGTTCGCGCTGAAAACCCGCCACCTACTTTCAAAATCCCAAATCCATCATCCAAGTCACTAGTCGAACAGCTGAGAAGATCAACAATTAAATAACTAAACTTATAACTGGCTCTTGCTTTGATTTATGCCACATGAATTATTAAATGTGGGAAATGCATCCCCCGATTGTGCATGCAAGGCTGTGGACTGACAGGCATTCAGTATTTTAGAACTCAGTGGTCAGTGGATGAAATATGAACTAATAAAGACCAACTACATAATCCACAATTATTCAGGGATTGATAAATAAGCAGTTAAGGTACGAACTCAAAGTGCCCCATGGATATTAAAATGTACGTGAATAGTCGAATCCATGAAGAACAAAATGAGGGGAAGCTTGAAAATCTATTATTAATTCCACAAATCCATCATACATTTGGCTCAAATTTTCTGCCACCCAGGGACGCCCCAGGAAGCAGAGGTGGACTCATCTGTGGCCGAAAGTTACTCACTGACTAGCATGATTTATCGATCGATCGATTAAGCTCTTTTGCTTTGGGGTACTATATATAGTCACGCTGGTCAAATGACTTGTCTAGTTGGATTGGCGGTGCACTCGTGTGAAAATCGCTCACGACCACATGTTCAGCGTGGATGCATGACTTGTCGTCTTCAGGAATTTAAAACCGAGCAATACCAATCGAGAGTATCCTTCGGGGCTAATAACGTTGATTGAGACAAACAGAGGTCAAGTGTGAATGACACTAAATGAACACAAAAATAATCTATAACCTACTCTCTTGACATCTTGGTCCAGAGAAGCCTTCAGGGCATTGGCATTTCCCAGTAAAACGATCACATTTGCCTCCAATCGGATGTCGTGGATCTCCACTACATTCACATTCGCGTTGACAATTACTATCCCATCTTCCGTCCGGACAGGCCAGCTCACATGCTTCACCGTACCATCCTGGGCCACAGTGACACTTCCCATTGGCTGGATCACAGGAGGCACCCCGGAGACAGGCGCATGTACGCGCACAAGCCTCTCCCCAGAATCCCTCAGGGCAGGACTCCGCGCATCGCGGTCCGGTGCGACCGGGCGGACAAATGCAACGTCCATTCACTTTATCACATTGGATTCCTGGAACATCCTTTGCACAGTCACATGTTTCTGCACAGTTCTTCCCGTATTTTCCTTGAGGACAAGGCTGATCACAAGCGACTCCGTGCCAGCCTATGTATACGGAAGACAAAGAAACATATTCAGAAAATGTTTATTTGAGTCCAAGAGCTATTAACCATGTGAATAGGTCGCTTGTCTACGGTATCGTTAGGTCTGATTACACAATTGATGATTTGAATTGAGCATCATTCAGAGTTCACCTTCGCGCACAATCCTTAGTTCTTCTAGCCAATCATACACTCGGAAGCACTAAGCTCGAGTTTCGCTGTTGTTTTAGCTCATCAGTAGTGCATATCCATCGTCCTGATTTGGTGGGAGATTTTCGGTTGGATAGTCAACTGTGTCTCCCTTCGTTGCCATCGGGGCTAAGAGTGAAATGACTGATTATCACTGGAGATGATACATGAACAAAGATAAATTGGTGATTTTATTCAGCCCTGGAATGAGCTGGTTGGCATAGTAGTAACACACACCTTACATACGATGGGCCTGGAGTTCAAAGCCCGGATAAATAGGGGGATATACACTAACAATGAGCTCAATCAACAGCGAAACCCGAATCTGATGCTTCCAAGTGTATGGTTGATAAGAAAAACTGAGTATTATGCCCGAAGGCGAAGTCTGAATGACGGTCAGTTCAAATCAATATTAATATTCTCACACCACTAATCACAAGTTACTGTGAGCCGAATGCAAGTTACACAATTATCCTTCATTTCAAAACTTACCGGCTTGGCAACGACACTCGCCGGTAGCCGGATTACATTCGGCCCCATTGGTGCAATTGCATCGATGCTGACAATCGAGTCCGTAGAATCCGGGAGCACATTCACGATCGCACAACATGTTTCGCCAACCCGGTTCACATTCACAAGCCCCGGATCGATGATCACACGTACCATGCACACAGCCACACGTTTCCACACAGTTCGGTCCGTATTTGCCCTCTGGGCACTCTGAGTAAAATAATAATCCAGTGGATATATATATATATATATATGTATATAAACAGCGGTGAAATGAATAAACAGTCGTTGCATAATTTATTCAATGGGTGAGCAGAGGGTATTTTCCGAATAGCTATTAAAAGTCCTATTAACCATTGTAAAGCGTTACTCGGATCCTATTGATCAGATTAGTCCATGAGCAATTCATTGAACATCGAAGACCGAGTGTCATTCTTTCAAATATCAAGCCAGAAATGATAATCTTGAGCTCTCGGATTCGCATGTTGAATGCCAGCAAAGTTATATTCACAGTTGGTTGGTTTGATGCAACCTTATTTACTCGAACAATGTTCCACTGACCCTTGTGCACTTTCTGTGGACTGGAAATCTTTTATTGGCGAATGATAAAAACCAAGTGCACACTGAAAGCAGGCATTTCGTTAGATTGAGTGTTCGGTGCCCACAGTTACCCTTGTCAACTGCAAATCACGAGGTCCGTAGCAATTACAACTTCCACCTCGGGTTGTCCGAGAACATTCGAACATGTTACTATATACTGCTAATTGCGTTCACGGGAGCAGAAGGGGTTACCACCGGGAGACGAGGAAACACAATAAGCCCAACCAAACCTAGATCAGGATGATTACAAACAATGGGATGTGCAAAAATCGGAGCAGTGTTTAAAAATTTTACAAATACTCTAAAAGGGAATGATATTTTGATCTAATTGAGCGGACTGGACAGAATGGCAGGACATCCTTCACTCACTCTGGTCACATCGAGTTCCATTGAACCCGGCGAAACAGACACAGACCCCGGTGCGTTTGTTGCATTCCACACCGTGCACACAGTCACAAGTTTCGGTACATTTCGGACCCCAACGACCGGGGGGACAAGCTGATGATATTGACGATGACATTGATGATGAGTGAGCACGTTTGGATGAACAGAGAGAGAGAGAGAGAGAGAGAGAGAGAGAGAGAGTATGAGCAAAGGAATACAAAAACAGAAGGTAAACAAATTTTCAAAGTGAACTAGGCGGGGATAATTTGAATGAAATTAAGGAGATCGGTAAAAGAATTGGAAGTGAATCTAAAGCGAAAAACCCTTGTAGGACTATACTTTATAAACGAAATCAAGTTCAGCTTCTAGTCACTTGCTTCACACTGCTTCTGGCAGTTCAGTGATAAAATATTAATCTTTAACTTACTCGCTTATTTCTTTAAATCAATCTTTTTGGAATTAAATAAAGGGATCTTTCCTATGTAGTGAAAATCGCTGAATTTAGTACTAGTTTCACTACTACTATTGCTAATACTACTAACGTTGGTGCTACTACTATCTTTATAATTCCAAAAGGCGATGCCCGGTCAAAGATCAACGTTTATTGAGGGTTACAGATGGGATATCACTAATTTGGTATACATAGCACCGAAATCTCATCAGAAACATACAATCGCAGTTTCTGGCCACACAACAGTCATGAATGTAGCAATTAATAGTTATTCTTTGAGACCCAGCAAATTGTCCTCGGTGATCTTGTTGATTTTTGATCGTTGAAATGAATCAACAACTATGTTACCTACTACGCACAAATGTGAGTAGTACAACACTACTACTACTGCAACTAATTATACTACTGCGAATATCACTATTACTAATACTGCTACTATTTCTACTATTACTACTACTACCACTACTACTTCTAATACTTCCGCTACCTCCAGTCAAACTTCTTTGATCAATGCGTTGATGCATCGGCACANTCGGCACAGAGGTATTCACATTTTGATCAGCTTTGCTCAATCTATTATCGTATGACGGGTGAATATGCATGGTCCACTGAGTTTTCAACGTTATTCCTTGTCTGGGTGTTACACGGTTTACGATCGTTAGGGTCCAGATTAGACACACACACGCACACGTTGGTTCTCCTCAACTCAAAGAATAACTCACTCTGCTTCTCCCGGGATTTCTTTCTTTTCATTTTCTTTTTAATTTTACTTCCTTTCATTGAATACACAATGATACAATTTTCAGGAAGGGGAAGCGGCCAATTAAAGGGCTGCCATGGGGAAATTCAGGCGGTGTTGGTGGGGTTCGAACACACGTCCCCCGAGGTGATCAATTGGAGACGTTACCACTGGGCCACCACCACCCCTTCAGTGAACACTATAACACACAACGTACACATAAATATTTGCGATGAAGGCCGATTTGTCAAACTTTCAAACGTGTTTCAGTGGATCTTATTGTGTGAAGTTTGGGGTCTCACTACACAGCTACTCAATGTTCAAATCCGAATCACGTGTTTCCAACAAAATTTAACTGTGTGATGTAATCAATGTTCTTCATGGAAAAAACTAAGCAGTGAACAAATCAGTGAAAACAATAATTGCCACAATCAAACCAGATTCGTCAATTACTCCCCGAGATTGAGAAAAAAAGAACATTCACGAACCACTTGTCGATTCCACAGACACTTACATGGTTCTTCGTCAGACACGTACCGATCATTCTCTGTCAAAACAGATGAAAATAGAGCAAGGGAATGAGCAAATATGTGATAATGTTTTTCATGATAAGGTTTACCTATGGATGTAAAAAAAACTATAGTCACGTCTCGAATGCCTCCCAAAGTAAGTGGAAAAGCAAGGTTGATAATCGCTTGTTCCCAATGCAAGTCGAAGTCTGTAAGTATACTAATAGAAACCGTCTCAGTCGGATATGCATCTCGTTCAGAGTGGGCAACGTTTGTCCCAGTACCGGATACAAAAGTGAATACTCTGATAAACTTGACTATAACCCAAGAGAATATGGAATCTATATTGAATTCATTATTCCGAAGTGTTTCTTTCATCTATGGTGTCTAGAAAAAATTAAACTTCGAAAATTGAATTGAATTGAATTGCTAGAAGCAGAGACCGGAAACTCACGCATGCCACAACGAATCCCGACTGTTCCGTCTGCACAGTGGCACAATCCGGTAACGGGATCGCAACCGACCACCCCGGGACCACAGTCACATTTTTTCGTGCAACCCGGACCGTACGTCCCCAGCTCACAACCTGTGGATGACAAACGGTAAAAAACAATTTGCCATGATGATTTTGCAAGTCTGTGATGCGCGTTGCATGGTTAATCGATCTATATACAAACTGACCAATAAAACGCCGCAACATAAATTCTGTAAATGTCTATTCATGTACGGAACGAATGTAATTAGGGCATAGAATGCTGAAGTTTAAATGAAATTGAACGGTAAAACGAGTATCTTAATGTGAAACCTGACTTTGTATGGAAGTCAAGGTGCACAAAATGAGATGAATGAACATAGTCGTTGTAGTCGATTGGGGGATTTGCGCACTGATTATCAGGGATGGGTTTCTCAAGTATATCCGATGAAAATGATCAAGAGTCGAGGAAGACCGTGGAAGATGTAGGGGAAAGAAGGAATAAACGTAACTTACGGATGTCACAATGCGGCCCTCGATAACCAGCTTTGCACACACAAGCACCGGTCTGTGGATTGCATGAGAGAGGTCTTCCGGCCAAATCAATGCCACATTGGCACTGTTTCAGGCATTGTGCACCCCAATATCCCTCAGGGCAATCTGTGGGTAGAACAGAGATTCACAAATGAACAGGTGATACTTGAAACTATTTCACATTGGAGTAGTGATTAACTGGTACTAAGTTTGAGATACCTCAATTGAAAAGAATAATCTTTTGTAAAATTGGATCATAGTTTTTCAGAAATCCTTTGAAATACAAAATGGTTAATGCCTGCTCTCCGAAACTGGAAAGACATCTATCTGATGGATTACATCGATTACCTTTCATGCAGATCATTCCTATTCAACAGGAGGCGATTTACCCGTCAATAGATTTCAAGGGCCCAGGGACATTTATCTTACCTAAGACTGTTCTTGAGTATTGAGCATCTATCTTTCACTGAATAACAGAATGATTTTTCCAAAAAGGAACTTTGGAGGTGGGTTGTTGAACTACATAGATATTCAGTTCAGGTGATGACTGATCAAAGAATGAAGCACCTGGTGTGCTTTCTTCAGTCACTCAGAAAAATTGTGAATAGGCAACCACTGATAAGACATTTATTGATCCATAGCAAACCGAGTGAACTGGGGAATAATCTGAGTAGAAATAAATAATGATCCCAGTTGGGTCGATGGATTCTCACTGCTGATGAGACCCAACCAGGACGAAACAGCTGTCCAGTGCTTCCCACCGTTTTGGATCAAGCTTCATTTGCACGAAGAATTTATCCTATAAACCAACCAATGACTTAGTCACATCCAACCCACAGCTCCTGGTCAGTAGTGGGTTGGAATTAATACTACTGATTTAGACATTCCATCTGTCAAAGTTCATCCTCACATGCAGTCCGCAACTGATCCAGTGAACTCCAGAACTCGGGCTGTAAATGATCAGAATTTTGCTGTTGACGTTACTCAAAAGTAATGCATATCCTATAACCCATCCGGAACCTGAACGCCGACATCTGAGACATCTACGTTACAGTTATCCCAACCAATTAGCACCAAAGCTCACCGGAATAATCAGTTTGAATAGGTTCAGGAGTCTTTTTCAGCGGTAGTCGGTCAGTTTAGTGAACTGAACAGCAATCAGAGGAGAAACAGTTTATGATCTGTCAATCGCAATAGAAAGCCTCCCATAAAATCAAGCATGATTTACCGGGGGAACTTTGTACCATACATGTGAGTAAAGTTCAATGGATGAATGGTTAGTCCAAATTAATGAGTTTGGTGTTCGTGGGGTACTTTAAATTCAATTGCAGGCTGCTGGATCAATTTAGGTTTATTGAACACCAGGTATGCAATGAAAAGTATCCGAATATGTTTAACTTCACCATATAAAAATCTTCGTTTGAATGACCGGAAATGTCTTTGTGTAAATAAAATACTGAAAATCGAGATCCGAGAAAACTGATCAAACCAATTAGTTCCCATTTACCAAAGTAAGCCATTCGCCCGTGAAAATTCTGTGATCACCTGAAATACCAGTACTTGTAGTATGGCAACCACACCACATGAAATGACCGTTTTAACTCGATCGGTGATGACATGTTTTGCAATCAAACGTATTAACCCAAAAATAAGTCAACTTAGCGGTTACCATGTGTTACACTGTTGATTGATTGATTCTTACTTGAAAACATCCAGTTGCTGTTGTTCGGACAATCACAGTCTGATACCAATCCTAAGAGAATAGGATGCATTTGTAACTGGAGAAAAACATCCTCTATCAATTCGAAATCGCTCAAGACTATATGGTCATAAATCACAAGCTAAGCCTTCTCCACGCGCCCACTACTTGGGCTAAATGAGTAGGGTATCAGATAATCTAACGTTTTCTCAACAAGGATCGACTGCAATTAGATTGGATGCTGATGCACTGCCTGTGCTTACTAACAGAGTGACCACATAATTGTTCAATGATTCTAAGACAATTTGTTGTTGAGCTACAAGATTACCATGCCTGAGGCAATTTTCAAGTATTCAACTTGAGCGTCTGATGCAGTAGTAATGGTCTGTAGCTCCAATTGACGAAAATTGTTTAATTACGTGGGTCTGAAGAGTAAACGGCTGCTCTGATTTCGTGAGCCTGGAACAGCTCCCGACGAAGTAGAGGAGACTTTGGGTACTTTAGTAAACCAAAAACTCTGGTACGCCCATTTGGTTGTGCAACATCATACATGCAATGTCAAAATCTTCAGAATGGTTCAGAAAATAAGGCAAACAGCTTAAAATCATCTTAAGGGAAGCGGGTCCCCACCTCAACAATTCACTGCTAACAAAATACGCGGAAGTTTTGAAGCACAATGCACTCAAGAGGTTAATTATAGTAGCTTACCTCTCGAAGATGACAACGTTTCACATCTTGTTAGAAAATATAACGGAGCGTGCAATAAAAGGAACTTCCGATAAAGCCTGACTAACATCAGCCATCAAAGCACACAAAGATAAGTTTCCCCCGCTGGCTGCATCAATGATGGTTTCCTATTCATACTGCGTTTGTTCTACACAACAAATATTAGCAGATAATTGTCCCAAAAGACTCAAGACTACTATAGCATGGGGAACAGGTACAGTAAAGGTTGTAATACCTGGTCATCTAGCTGGTGTTTGTCTTCTAGATTGTCTCTCAAGTGCCCCATCCTAAGCCGTGGACTTTGTTCACTGCTAAGGCGATGGATATCTGCATACCGAAGAAAAGACAAACACATCAATTTTGTGTGATCGTAAATGTTCAGGCTCAAACTGGCTTGAGCGCCCGGGGAACATCAATCATCGGGTCAGTGCCTTTGAAGGCCAATCTGAGGAAAACGATCTTATTCGATACATCACAGATAAGATTGATCGCTAATCTTCCCCTGCTGTGCACACCAATTCGCTCAGTTAAATTACTTTCGTCCATTGTCAGTAAGTCCTCTTCTCTTAAAGTGTCATGAAAGCATTTATTCTTGGTATAGTGTAACGGAAATTTGCCATACCTACTCTTTACCCCCGGCAGTGAACCTAGAGCGATTTATCTAGATGAATTGCCTTTGTATGGATTTGAAAAGGACTTAATCTCGTAAGTTATTTTCGCCAAACTGCGCGCTTATTAGAGGTTGGTACAACTGATCGTCAACGGCTGCACACCGTTAATTCTGAGTGACCAATAACACGCAGAACTTGGCGATCAATCAGACACGAGCGTGCATATAATTTGTTTTCAGAGCAATAGGGTAAGAGTCACACAGAAAAAGTGCAATTATTTCTGGGTGCATTTATTTTATCATTGTTTGGAACTAATCTGAAAAACACGTAAGACCTTATAAAGGAATTCGCAGTCTGCATATCTAGATTTCTACGGTTGGTTTGAAGTACCGTTTTGAAAGACAGGTTTTCAATGTGATTATTGCAGTGTAAACTTCATAACTTAATTTACTTATCTGTCCCGAACTTCCTAGGTGAATACCAGGATTACCATTCCGTGAAATGTTACGGCAATTATTTACTTGCCTGTATTCTTATCTCGTGTGTGTGTGTGTGTGAGGGGGAGGAATCCCGACCATGACAGAAAAACAGAAAGGACGGGACGGGTGAGGACCAGTTACCTTCATCGCATTTCGGACCGCGTTTTCCGGCCGGACAGAGCACATTGCATCGACCGGTGACCGGATCACAGCCATCTGTACAGTCGTAACACGTCTGTCGACAGTCCACACCGAAGGTACCTCGTTGACATGGAAATATGCACTCTGGTGCCCGGTATCCCGGTTCACAAACACATTTGCCGGTCTGGAATGAAAGTACCGGTCAGAATGGGTTGAAAAGGGTGACTGAATCAAATTTTCATGAAAATATAGTTCATATTTGAAGGTAACACATAACTAGAGATCAGTTTCGCACGCGCACGCGCACGTGCACGCACACACACGCATAGGCACAAACGGTAATCAGAAAGGCCACTACAGCACATTCAAATTAGCTAACCCAAATCGCAATCCGTTCAACCAACAGATTATGTTTAACGTTTATTCACAGCTGACAAATGTTTGGAAAAAGCAAGTGTCAGTACTGAATACAGAACGCTTTCCAAACCTTGTTCCCCGTCTGCTCTCTACTCGCATCTCCTGAGGCTTGCTTAAAAAATTGGATATATTTGCCGAATCGTGCTTATCAGAAATGCTCCACTTCGGCCCCAATTCATTGAATCAAGATAATGAAACTGAACCGATCAACTTATGTTACGACGGCCGTTAATTACATCAGTTGCAAGACTGTTTGTTGGTCAGTCGTAACTACCGAGCCAAGTGGACAACATGGAATGCAACACAGAACGAAGCCAAGAGTCATTTTCAGGGGAGGACAATAAGGAGCTGTTTGGTTCTATCACTTCATATGCAACTGTCAGTCTGTTCTTGTTGTTAAATATCTGTTCACTATGTTTTATAACGACTGACCGTTTCTTCTCCAAATTAAAGCAGTGTCTTAGGAAGGTAAGGTACCATAAAAGCCCTAATTCTCTCGAATAGTTTGCCATTTTACTAATAAGATCATATTATATACAAATGCGCAGTCAACTTTCAGGAAAGGATCTGTGACCGATCAAAGGTTACTTAGGGACCTGGAAGAGCTATATGTGAGTAGCGGATTTGAACGTATTTCCGAGCTGCCGTACAACTGACTGCGATAGCTCAATTATAACGGTTTAAAATAGAGTAGCGTTGCCCTTCCTCTTTATCATAAGGAAAGGCTTTATATAACTAATTATATATAGTGTATATATTGTATATTATATGCTATATATGCATTGGTGTGATCAGTGGTAGAAAGGATGAATCCCATAGCCATGAGGAAGCACTACCTGCTTATTTGGACCACCAACACTGGGAATTGAAGTAGCTTGAACAGGATTGGATTGCGGTGAGCTCGAGAAAAGAGGGAGCACAACTATCTGTCACCAAAACTAGATAACAGTGGCAGTGTTCGAGCATTTACAGACATCTGCTAAAGCCAAAATTACCACACACTGTTGTTTGTATTTACCTGATGTAGCATATTTTTATCGTATTAGTGCATCGTGTTTTGAAATCCAAAAGTGTGAAAATCATTCTGACAATCAATCCTCAGCTCCTGTCGCACCCCTTTATTTTCCAGTAGATTTGTGTCTATCATTACTAGTCGTTGTACCAATCGCCTTTTCATATGAAAATCTTGGAAGGTTTATTTCGTAACCAAGTGGTTTGGCCTTCATCCAATGTGAGTTTTGCAGTACTCAGCATAAATTTATAATCTTATAGTCACAGAAATGAGTTTTTTTGATTACATGAGAACGATAAGGTAAGGCTTCTAGGTTCCGAACTCATTTGATCCATTTCGGGGCTGCTTAGATGAACCCTAAATAGCCGCTTCCTGGTAAAAATGGAAATCAAGCACTTTAATTTTGTCTGAATCTCTGAGGTAACTTGACACCCGGGTGCCACACAATTCTGGATCGGTGCAACTGCTTTCTTACCTCAGGATGACAACCCTTACTCTTTCTCCCAGGCCCCGTACACTCCGCCGGACAGGGCAATCGACACAAATGACCCCATGTACCTTCGGGACAGCTCAAATGACAACGGGCACCGTATGTGCCAGGTGCACATGTGCATTGTCCGGTGTCACGTTCACATCGATTTGTCCCACAGTTGTCCGGACACGTTCGATCGCAACCGAGCCCCCAATAGCCCGGTTGACAACCGGACAAATCGCATCGATCTCCATGACGTCCAATCGGACATAAACATTGCCCCGTCTGTGAGTCACAGGGGATATCGTCAATGCAGTCGCAGTATTCTTGACATCCGACACCCCAGCGACCCTGAAATGTGTACATGTGAAAATATAAACGACGGAGTGTTATAAATGATGCTTTGGGATCACCTGTCGATGTCGCATTGAAAGAGAAAACATTAATGTCCCAAAGAAACGAGTAAGAATACTATGAACTATTTATCGTTTGCCCCAGTGACTGAATTAGAACACAAAAGTAGCTGAACCAAATAGTTCTCGCAAAAATGTATGTGAGCAGGTTTAAATTGACGTTTTTCAAGAGAATTCCAACACGGATTTCATCAAGCCCTTTTATTACAACATAGAATCAAAGTTATGGGAAAATATGTGATGTCCAGCACTGAGGACCGCCACAAATAATGACTAGGAATGCTAGGACTTGGAAAAAAGAATTTTATGTCTTAGAAATTGCATCACACTTGGATTGTGAAGGACTCAGATTCAGTGGACCGACTGTGATGATCTGACATTTGGGTTCTATTCCGCGATATTAGCTACTCCCATTTTTGCCACTGAAATATCAAGAGCAGTTGACTGCACCCAGAGTATCTAACCAATCATCGGACGGATTTGTTGGATGAATAGTGAGTAACGTTCATGGTACTCTGGTCAAACAGATTACCGGGACAAAGCAATCATAAACACAAATTTGCGTGACCGGCTTCTCCTTATCACCGCATAAGAGAGTGAAATCAGAGTGGAGAATCGGACAGATACTGCACTGATTCGTGTGCAAAAGAGAAAATTCACACCGTCACAGGTAGAGAAAAATTTTCACCATGCCATTCACTGGAGAAAATAACAAATGAACGAACATTAACCAAAACATTATCATTGAGAGAGGAAATATTTTAGTCGAAAGAATGAACGGTTAAAATTGGTTCTGGTTTTCTAAACAGGTCTCAAGGTCAAAGTTCTATCTAAAACGAAGTAATTAATAATTAATAAAATAACTATTATTCGTCGAATTTGAAAACTAATACATAAGTAGAGATACGAAGTCAAACAGCAGCTTTTGGATGGTACAAAGGAGAGAGACGTCTATGCAAATGGCTCAACTGAAACGTACGATATTAAATCGAGTAACTGGTGATCAATCTGGTTGAGAAACAGTATCCAGGGCGATAATTTATTTGGTCCTGTGTTTATGGTTGCCCACCACTAGGCAGTTCGGAGAAACTGTACACAAATAAACTCGCTTTTGCATGCCTTTCAGTGAGAAATCGTGCATTATCAGGGATATATCTGAGCATAACCCAGTTCATTTAGTCGTTGTTCACATCTCCGATATAGTTTTGTTCAAAAATTAAGGATTTTTCTGCACAACAATAGCTTTACCATCATTCGGATGGTATACTACTTATAAGTAGTCTAATCCTGATGGTACATAAACGCACTCACTTTTGGACATCTATCATGACAGACGGGACCGTGAAATCCGGGGGCACAGTCGCACCCGGTCATATCCCGATTGCATCGTCCACCATTTTCACAGTGAGAACATGTGAGCTGACAGTTCTCTCCAAAACGTCCGGTTGGACACGGTCTTCCCACTAAGCAGAGGAAGAGACATTTGAATCTGTTTAGACGCATCAATCGATGATTTACAGTCCCACTGGGAGACAGACAACACTGATTTTCCATGCATATGATCAAGATTGTGCACAGATCAGAATGTCTCAGAAACAACAATTGTTCCGTAAAATTTAATAATGTTGGAAATTAATGAACTTTGAAGAAGAAAGAGTTTACTGTGCTTATTAAATGAGAATTGATGTGTACAAAATTTAGTAAATATCATTGAAAATATATTTATTAACAATGAGTTTCCAAGGGCGCATTATACTTCGTTATATAAGGCACTAAACAACCATTTTGACGAGGTTGGTTTTTGGACTAGTGGGTAATACTTTAGGTATTTTATCTTGAGGTTTTAGGCTCAATGTTTGCTGTACTGGATTGAATTCCCCAGCAGATGATATTCAAAACAAAGTGAGACAACCGTTCAATGCTTCTCATCTTCTCAGTGTAAATGATAGGTATTAATTCCTTAAAAATTTGCAAAGCTTTCTTTAATATGGCTCATACATTCTGGGTCCGGATATTCACAATATTCAAACCGCTGACACCGAATCCGTTGACAATTCAGCATTGAATTTTCTTGTATAACAATCAACCCATTACTCGATATTGTTTAATTTGAACTGAATGCCATAGTGACGCAATACGGGACTAAACAGATTTACCTTCTTTGGTGATCAAGTCAGCCACGAAAATTAGGTTGAGACAGCTTCATATTGATTGAAAAAGTATCCTAGGAACTCGTTTTTGATATGTCGGTGTCTCATAGAGACAGTTCCCTTCAGCTGTTTTATTCCATTTTCCTAGAGAACACAGAACAATAAATTGTCTACTTCTATTTAAAAAATAGTTATGCCAATATGGAAACAATGCAAAATTTGAACCTGAAGCTATCCATCTTTGTGATGGGAGAATTTTTTTGTAGCACAACAACACTTCAAGAAACCCCTAACTCAATTCAGCAATGGTCTTTCGAAAACCACATTGAATACAGTGTTTCTAAGTGCAAAATCCTGCCCCTACACCCCAGGAGTAGAGTACCGTATTTCCTCGGAAAGCAACAACTGTCACATGCATCAAATGATAGGGACCTTGGTATAATTGTTCAAAATCACTTAAGCTGCTCGATTGATTGAGCTAAGGCTTCGTCCGCTGCTGTGAAGAATGTCAGCTTGCTTAAACGAGTCTTTGGTCTGTTTGAATCAGCGTCTTTCCCACGTTTGCTAGTAGTGCATATTCGAAAGTACATACAGAGTACTCCATCCAAGCCTGGCGCCCGCGGTTACAAACTTGATCGTAATACGCTGTAGTGTTCACAAAAGATTGCCAACAAGATGATTAAAGAATTGAACTGCCTTACCTATGAGGAGACTATATTTCACGCAATACTACTGAATTAGATGGGAATTGTTTTTGGTATACCAAATATTGCAGAGCTCAAACCATCTACGTTTTCCGCTGCTCTCATTTTCGTCCAGCATACACCTTAGAAGACCGTTTCAAGCTACTGATTCCAAAGTCTCAACTGGTATGCCGGCTTCAGTCTTTTGCAGTCGAAGGGTGCAGCACTTGGAATGCTCTCCAATCTCACGTCAGTTGTGCGCCAACAATTGATACTTTTAACCGGATACTTGATGAAATCCCGGCATCTTTCATATATCTACACAACTAAAAAGCAAACTAGGTGAAGATTAGATTATGTACTATCTCCTTACCCGGAACTATATGTGTCATCATTTTTGTCAAGAAAAGACTCATTTGCCTAAATATCGTATTGGGACAAGATAAACACGACCTTGTAAGTAGTTCCTAGAGCACAACTTTGACTTAACTTTGACATGTATCCGTAGCATCACGGTGGATTCGGTTATTGTTTGTTTGTTTATTTGTTGTTGTTTTTTTGTCCAGTACGCGATATCATGCTCCCCCGAAATTTACCTCTTCAAACCAGACAGATTTACAACACGCAAACTAAATCAGTAGAACACGAAACTCCGGTGAATAACTGTTCAGGCATGTGATTCGAAAACTCATTACATGCACCAAATGTGAGTACGAAGATTAGGTTTTTAGTTCAAAATTTCATGCACGCAACAGGCTGCAGGCGGAGGAATAGGATAACAAGAGAGTATAATGTGGTAAAATTGAAATTCGGATAACAACGGAAAGGCAGACCGAAATACGGAGGGAACAACACTGAATTAAACCAACCGGAGGCAGTTCTCTTCTGCGGAATGGCGACTCTGGGGTCGTCACCCATCATCACTGAAATATATGACACATTGAAACAGATAACCTCAATAACAATAATATTAATATTAATAATAATAGTAATATTAATGATATGAGATGATATTAATCAGCCAGATTTCGGTTTTCTCCTATGTTAGTCACGGGGTAATCCAACATGGGCGTTGCACCCTTTTAATGGGGATAAAATAAAGCTTACTCGCATCCAACGGAATTTTTTTCTTCGTGAATGTCTGAATCCCGTAGGTGAATGAGGAAGTCGGTCCATTCAAATTGATTTGACGTCTATTCTGCCCCGGTGCTCCGATTACCATGGCTTGAGACGCGTCATCCCTGACATATTTTGTGGAACCTGTCAAGGTGAGAATAATTTGTCCATGCAGGCGGTCACACCGAATAATGGGGATAATCATATGTGAATGAAAATATATCTCACCCTCGCTGTACCTTTATTTATTTGAGTAGAATCAGATTTATTATTCGTACAGAGCAGTGATCAGGAATATACAGCACGTAGTAAAAAGAAATGCGGCCTATTGCTGAGTCTGTATTTGGCTTGAAAAGATGGGTTGTGCTGAGTGGTCGAGTGGGTGGCATCCTTGCGTTCTTCTACTTGTGTGGTCACGGGTCCCCAGTTGAGCCGATACATCCGCACTGCTGCTGACGAGACCCAACCACGTCGAAACAGTGCTTCCTGGCCTTCCGTTTCGCGTTCTGTTTGATCTTTACATGACGAAGTTCCCAACACAGTCAAACAGACGGTCGTGAAAACTCCATATTTTGTCACAAATGATTACAAAATGAGCACGGTCACCTATGTGTCACTTCTAGGAACTAAATCCGCTTAGCAACAAAGAGAATAAAATCTTTTCATAATATGAACATTCTATATCCGGATTTCAAAATTGCATTATGATGCGAACGTAATTTCCAACTCCTGTTTTTTCATTCAATGTTCAGTTGGTTGTCTAAAATACACTTCCGGGGTTTATGTCCCATAAAGTAAAAACATGGCCTGGTGCGAAAACCTATTTCACCGTTTAAGTCAAGTACGCAGCCCACAAGTTTTGCCAGATAGTTTAGTTAGATTGGTTTTAATTCGGCATGGTAGAGGCCATGAGTTTACATTCATCCATCGGCATAACGATTTAGTCGACTCAAAACCGATTTCTTTCGACTCAATTATCATTAGGCTTATTTTCTTGTTTTCATAAAATAGATTAAAAGGGAATGGAATTCATCTGACCAACATTTATGATAAATAAATATTGAATTAGGCCATGAGTTTCTCTTGATTATCCATAAAAAGGCTTCAGAGAACAATTACGATCGGAAAATGAATAACGGTAGATCAAACTTTGTCTATCAACAGCTGATTTCCAGATTTCTTTTCATAGTTCGCGAATGCTATGGGATAAAGAATCGTTATAACTCCACTTCCGTAGGAGCTGAATTAACAAACATCTTTGGAACAATTTTTAACCCGAGTAGAATGTTAGACTGCTATCTGGACCACACTTGGTTGACCTTGAACGGCATTTAAAGGTTCCAGGGCGAAAGACAGCCATCTAGGCTCAAGTCACGGAATGCACTGACTGCAATACTGAAGGCAATCATTAGAAAAAAATACAACTCCCAACTAAAAACATATGGCTTATTCGAATAGCTATCACAGTTGGTTGTGAACAATCGATGTTTGGCTAGGGTGTTGATGTTTTATTTGTCACTGCGATTTGCTATGTAACGTAAAACCACACTTCACACATGAGAAACGCTGTGGTCATACGAGACACAGGTTGATCGTAGCCTAGTATAAAACACGAATGTGCTGAACTCACGGGAACAGGTTAAACCATCCGGATTAAGCTCGTCTCCCAAATTGCATAGACATTGAAAACTTCCTGGTGTGTTGACACATTTGTACTGGCATCCACCGTTGTAGCTAAGACATTCGTCAATATCTGTTGAAAGGGTGAAACGAGACTCATATAAAGAAGATTTGTGCATATTTGATCAATGACGGGAGGAAACGAGAGATGAAAATTGCTATGGGATCAAGGGGGAGTTGGTATTACAGAATCTGTTGTCCATCACAACACAGCTTAAATGTGACTGTCCCGGAGGTAGTCAAAGTTTTGCGACGAGTTAGCCGAAATTTGAGTTGATTTCGTCATCGGACACATAAGGGATTTGAGGGAGGAATTTTGAACCATCTTCAAGGTTAGATGTTGGTGATCGAGAGTAGTGGAGCATCACATCGTAATCTCTGACGAAGCCGTAGGCATT